CTAGCTCAAAAGTAATAATGAAGATGATAACAGTAATTATAACTAACAACCTGGGGAGAGGGTTAAGTGACCTTGTTCAAACATTTTAGTTTTGTGATTTATTATTTTTAAAATAAAATCAAGCTAAATATTCAACCTATGATCTTGTAGGAATGCCTACTTTAAGCACACAGCTGACCAGGTAATACTAAGAGGTACCTGTAAAATTATTAATAGTGTCATGATACAGCATTTATATTGTGTTTTGAAAAAAATAAAAGTGCTTTCTAGTGTTTTACTTTGCCGTCAAACTACTCCTGTGAATAATGTGCACTGGTATTTTTATCCCAGTTGTCCAGACCATGAAGCTCAGGCACCGGAAGGCTAATTGACTTATCCCATCAGTGGAGCAATGAATAGAATGCAGGTCTCTGGACCATGAAGCGAATATTCTTTTATTGTAAAAAATATATGTTAATAACCCAGAATTCCTTGTTTCCCTTATTAAAAAGCAGTTGCTCTTCAGCTGAAGTTGTGTCTTCAAAATATTTACCTCCAAATTGTCTACAAAATGTTTCAAAGTGATGATTTTTTTTCCCTTTGAAAGTCAACCAAGTAGAAGCAGATGGAGGATAGTTTTATAACCGAAGGTATAACTTTTTGCTAATTTATTAGAAAACCCTGTCTATAGGTAGATAAATAATGCCTACATTTTAGGAGTTTTCCTTTCTTTGTAATAATCTGTGCAATTACCAACTTTTGGAAATCTTTTAACATACTACTTGAAAAGGTTATCCTTGAATGAACATAGGGTTTTTTTGTTGTTGATTTTTTTGTTTGCTTGTTTGTTTTTTGGCCTCAAATATTTGCTGGTGAAAGATTTACTGGCCTGTGTTTTGCCAGGATTTCACAATTTTCCTCTTTGCTCAGGTTACTTGATATTATAAAAGGGGTTCCGGGTTGTTTTTATCCTTTGTTGCTAATTTTAATTGTCTTTTAATTTACATCTTTGTCCATCCAGTACTGCATACTTGTGGTTTTGAAGAATCAAAATACCTCAGTCACTGAAGAGTTGCAATAATTATGTGACTAACTTGGCTCAATCTTACGGTCAGGTTTTTAAAAAATTTATATTGAGCTGAAGTGTGTCATCTTGGGGTGTCATTTATTTACACAGCCTTTTAACTGAAGCACAGTCTTAGGCAGTGTTAATACTTAAATACTTTTCAAAATAAAACATGAATGAAGCAGCTTAGAATGTTGCCCGGTTTAACCTACTTAACCTGGTTTTGTTGAGGGGATGATAATTTCTTGGAAAGAAATGATTATTCTTCACTGACTTTGGCTAAACTGTCTCCATGTTTTCTCACTTCTAAAGTGTTTATTCACTTGACTTTCTGGTGTGACTCCTGCATGGATTTTGTGTAGTAGCCAGAGAGAAAAGCTCGTTATCCTGCATTCAGAGATTGAGTAGACTCAGAAGCCAAGTAGATGCTTGCTGAAGAGAAAAGTTAGTTTCTAAAAATACTGGATGCCTGGTTTTATCTAATCTGAAGGGAAGAATGTAATGAATCATTAAAATATACCTTTGGGCATTTTGTTGTCTTTTTGGCTATCAGATACAAGGCAAACTTCTCGGGATTGTGCCGCATTTCTGAATCCAAACCTACTTCAGTAGGTTTTTCTTTAGTAGTGGAAGAACAGGTCGGTTTATAAACTGTCTCTCCTCGGTTGGCAGGATAGCCCCTGGGGTTTTTGTTATCCTAACGTGGTGGTAGAGCATGAAGAGGGTGTAGACAGCAATTCTAAAGACTCTTACAAACCACAGTGCTAGTACACTGTACCATTAGATTACTGAGTACATGTTTTAAGTTGAGTAATTCCAACAGTTACCTGGCCTGTGTACCATGACTTACCCAACCTGTGAACTACTGTGATTCATCTGGAAACTTAGTTTGGTGTGAATTACTCTTTACCCCTTGAGAATGAAGAAAATAACCGTATAAGCAGAACTATTTGCATCTGTGTGTGCTTTTTTTAATGTTGGCATCACTCCTTCCCCTTTCCTATTTTGAGGGCTCTCAAATGGATCTTCTAATTTATAAGTGTCAAATATATTTTTGTAATAGATTGTGCCTATAATGAGAGAAATCTGTAATGTATTGTTTTATATACTTGAGACACATGTAATCTGACATACTTGGAGGCATGGTCTAATAATATGCACCTTTGTGGTTAATATATTTAAGATTTTCCTCTTTATTTTAACACATATAGTTAAGTATTTGAGTAAAGAGTTATTACGTTCAGATGTCGCAGAAAATTAGAATATTTATTTTTGCATATTGTATAGGTCAATTATTTACAGAATTTGCACTTTTATATTTCTGCCAACTAAAATGGAAGGGCAGTGCATACCTTATTTTTAAAAAAAACACACACACAAACAGGTGTGTGTTTATTCTTGTGCTGTATACACTTTCATGGCTGATTGCGTCCTTAAGCAGATTGTGGTGGAAAGTACTCAAATATGGCTCTGTAGCTATGGAGATAAACATTCACACCGTCATGATGTGTACTATTTGGGGTTTTTTGTTTTGGGTTGTTTTTTTTTATCCTGTTGATGCTGTATTTTGTAGGAAAAAAGGTGTCACTGAGCCCAGATTATCCCAAGCAGGCAATAGTAGAGGGAGGAGAATTGGAAGATAGGAAGAAGAAATAGAGAAGGATAAGGGGAACAAGCGAATGGCAAGTTGGTCCATAAAAGAGTAAAGTGTGCAAAAATTACCCAAGGCACAGTGTAAAATTGGCCTTGTGAAAACCAGCAAGGGACCTGAGCCCTAGCCCCTCATGGGCTGAGGTATGAAACAGAAGCAACACACTCGTCACCCTGATGAGCTCTGGGTTACATTTTCTCCTCTCACAGACCAGTGGTTCTCAAATTTTCGTTTGACAGTGGTCCTTTCTGAGATTCTGATTCAGTAGGTTCTGAGTAGGGCTTATGAGGGTGTTTTTAACAAGCTCCTAGGATGATTTTAATGCAGGTGAAATCACCCTACATTATCACCTTTTGGTAAATAGGGAATCTGAGAGAAGAGTCAAACACAGGCATGTAGCCAGGTGATGCTTAGACATAGACTGTATATCCTGGGGCCACTGAGGAAATGCTTCTAACCCATTGACTTTCGAAACTAGGAGACTCCTGAGCTGAGTTTTAAAGAAGAGGCAGTCAAGTAGAAGAGATGGCTAAAAGGATGTCTCAGGCTTTGGACCAGGTGAACAAAGGCATAAAGATGACAACGTGTGTTCAGGACCAATCTCTAGAGAGTTAAGTGGGAAGCAAATGATAAGATTAGATAGGAGTTACTCAAAGTCATAAGAACCTTAGACTTTTATAGAGTAAGGATTGGGGGTAGGGGTGGGGATTAGGAGCAATGGGTAACAATGGTTTCATGTATTCATATTTTAGTTAGATCTCTAGTGACTGAAAGGGAGACAGGCACAAGGACAAGACTGTAAAACCACATCAAAGCAGCAAATAGTGGTTTGAAAAATTTTGGTTAAATGTTTTCACTGTAACAATTTGACTTTCAGAGGAACTTGGACAAAACTGACTTTAAAGAAATGTGAAAAGAGTAAAGCCTTGTCTTCTGAGTTACAGGGATTCTGCACAGTACCTAACAACTATTAGGTGTTCAAGATGACCGAGCAAATTAGGCTACACAAGCATAAATGTCTCTGATTCCAAAAGATACCATAAATGGAGTCTCTAACGTTTGCACTTGGGGGTTTTAGTAGCTCAGTTTCTTTACACCTTTGATATAAACCAAACCATCAGAAATCATGACAGCCTCATTCATTTCACTTTTACTTAACGTTACCAAAATGTTGCTGGGGACAGTGATGAAGAACCAAAAAAAAAAAAAAAAACTTTTAAGAAGTACTATCTTCAAAACTATCACCACAACAATCTCTAAAAGCACTTTTCCTTTAGTTTGAAAATGTAATCCTCATGACAAGAGGGAGCTTGTCTGCCAAACAATGGGCACTTGGTGGTAATTATTAAACGAGTGAATTAGTATCTCCGGAAAATGCTGTGTGTACAATAGATGTAGAGTTGGCACTTCAACGTTGCCTCTATTGCAAAGTGCTCTGGAAGCCTTCATTTTTCCTGAATAGAAAAAGTGTGGAGGGGTTTTCTTTGTCAAATATGTGCCCCGATGATATTTAATGTTTGATTTCTACTAGTTCGTGTTGCTTTTTAAACATTTTAATGTGGATCATCATGATTATGGTGTTATTTAATGCCTGGTACAAATATGTGAGCCTGAAACGGCGAAAGAGAAGAGTGGGTATTTTGAATGAGCCCACGTTTCTTCAGTTTGGTAAAACTGAGCTGATGTGCACAGCACTTGTTGACTTGCAACCTGTTGGTGGACAAATGGTTTGGGGAGGATAGATTGTGGTTAAGATTGCAAGAATCCAAATTACAGAGAAACGGGAAGCTTCAGGATTAATGCCCAATTTCTTTTCACAGACCAGTTTCTCAAGAGGAAAAGTACCTTGTTGCATAAAATAATTCTTTTTGCAGTCGTGTTTCTTGTGTAGACCGTGTCAGAAATTATTCTAACAAAAAATGGACAGTAAGATGGGGCGGGGGGGGGGGAGTGTGAAGAGAGGAAGGGGCAGAGAGCGAAAACTGCCATAATATGTTTCTCTTTTCTTCCAAACCGGCAACCCATTTTAGGTTGAATGACCGAAAGCGGAGAGACTGACTCCTTGATCTACTCTCAGACTCCTAGCAATTTGGAAATTTCAGTTTCCTCTCGGCAGCAGCCTTCCTGGCCCAAGGAATTCCGACCTTTGTCCCTTTCGGCTCCCCATTGGCTGAGACCGCCGCAGCCCCGCCTTCTTTCACGGCAGTCTCTGGCTGCCCCACTCAGGGGCGTGCTTTGTGACGCGCTCCTTGACGTCCCCCAGGAGTATAAAAGGCCTCTGGGCGGCTGGCTGGTCCAGGAGCCGCCTGCGAGGAGGCAAGGAGGAAGCGCTTTAGAACTCAGCCGAAAAGGAGAAGGTGGGGCGAGCCTCCCTGCGCCCGAGGCAGTTAGGCGGCAGTTAGGCCCTCGATTTGTCACCGTGAACCGTGGATTCCTCCCGTGTGGGGAAAGGCAGAGGGCCACTGGAGTGGGCAGTCCGTAGGGAGGGGCCGGCGCATCCACCACCTCCTCTCCTGAGCTGTTTGGCCCGAACTCGGGGTCCCCGCGCTCTCACATCTCACTGCCTGCTCCGCCAAACTAAACAACAAAACAAGCCCAGACCCAGAGGGGCCCACAGACCCCGCCGTAGGTCTTCAGGGAGTGAGTGGTGTGTGCTGGTTGTGTTTTCGGTGGCTCCAAGTCCCTGTTCTGGCATCGTCCGCCAAAAGCACTGTTTTCCCTGGGCAAGTGGCGTAGCGGGGAAAGTAAAGTTCACCGTTTGACGCGGGGGCTGGAGGTTGTAAAATTTGTTAGAATTTGACAAATATTCTTTAAAGGAGAGATTGGGGGAGAATTATTAAGCTATCACGTTAAAGAATCTTTGATGTCTGTATTTGTGACTTCACTCATTGATAAAGTTATGGTTGGTGTCAGAGTGTTTCTCAACTTGTTCTGGACAATTCCTTGTATGGGATTGCGATGTAAAATGCTCATTCCTGGTCCCGAGGCCCTAAATGACCCCGCACATTGACAAGGAGTGGGGTGAGGGCGCTGCATGCCACCTGGGTTGAGAAATACTAGGGTCACTGGATAACCAATTGCCAAATAGTTGATAGCCCCATGGTAGTTAAAACATGACCTATCCGCTCACACTGGGGTGCAAGGGATGTCCTTTAAAAAAAGTTATACACACACATGTGTATATATGTATCATAACATATAATTACCTCCTCTGTCCGTTAACATTAGCATTGGGCCTACCAAAGCTGTACTACTGGTTTTTAAAGATGGTTTAATTCAGTAAAGCTGTTAGATGATATTAAGACAGTAAATTTTCATGTAGGTGTTCAGTGTGCTTAATTATATTCTCAAAGGGTTTGCCCTGGCCAATCCAGATTTATTTTTTTCCTGACTTTAGGGAAGATGAAATGTACTTTAAAAAAAAAAAAAGGCACAAAAACAGATGTGCTTTGAAAATGCTATGATACATTAGTTGCTTTTTATTAGAGATTGGCCCCTCTATAATTGCTGTACCTAAACTGCCACTTAACCCCGTGGAACTCATTACTCTGTTCACTGTGGGGATGTTGAGGATGTGGTTCATTATATCACGCACTATTCTCCTCAGTGTGAGGACCCATAGGAGAAATTTCTCCTGGGTCTCACCAGAACAGCTGTGATTCGCCTAAGCAACGGATTTTTTTTTTTTTATTTATTTATTTTTTTTAAATCTCAGGAAACCCGAATCACTTAACCGTTTTCTGTTTTGTGATGGCTCTTTGGACGCCCAGGGACTGATTTGATACTCTTGACCTATATGGCTTGTATTGGAACACTAACCTTACCTATAGCTTCATCCTGTTTTTCCTACCATAATTTTTTCTTTATCTGGACTGATTTCCTTTTTAATTTTGTTCTTTGTGTATATGTAAACCTTCTTAAATAGTTTTTTAGAATGAAACAGAAGGTACACACACACTGGCACATAGTTCGGAGTGGCAACCTCTGCAACTCTGAAGACTGCAGGTTACACGATGCCGTACCCTTGGTACTACTTCAAATCCAGAAAGTTGGGGGACTGGGGGGAGAGAGGAGAAACCTGGGGCAAAGGTTAAGGGAGGATAGAGAAAAGACTGGACATGATGGTGAGTGGTGTAATACGACATGTTAACTTAAACCTATTCGGATTGTTTTAGAGAAATTTAAAGCAAAAAAAGGTGTATTTAAATATGATCGATGTACCCAGGGACAGAATAGTCTGTACAAAATAGTCTGGCTTTTGTACAGAAAAGCCAGAGCTCATGCGGTTTGGAAGTATGTTGTTTGGACACAGATAAATGAGGTGGATATATTTTTTGTGACTTTTTTTGCACAAAATGTTTACTAAATATTACAGAAAGTTTCATTTGGTTGCTTTTTTGTTTTTAATATCCTGGAGTTACTGGCAGGGCTTTTCCCATGGATCTCTATAAACAGTACTAGACTGCTCTCCCGCACATGAGAAGCTATTGGTAACATGATTTTTTAAAAAACTACCATTAAGAATTAGCCCATTTTGCTAGAATAAATACTGATAGATTAAAACTAAAGCTAATTATTTGAATAGGAGATAAGATTTGTTCTTTGAAGCAATAATTAACTCATAAGAAATTTTAAGAAAAACTAATAAACTATTTATAAAACTTTGTTTTTTCTTCATTATAGTTGAAATAATAGACATCCTGCCACAATGTTTTCTTCAAAGCCCAGACTTGTCGTACCTTATGGCCTCAAAACTCTGCTCGAGGGAGTTAGCAGAGCCGTTCTCAAAACCAATCCGCCGAACATCACCCAGTTTGCAGCAGTTTATTTTAAAGAACTTATTGTGTTTAGAGAAGGTTTGTTATTGCTTTAGATTATATATTCGTTGCTGTGAAAAAGCATTTTAAGTTGGGAAATTTTGGTATCTGATTTCCTGTATTTATTCCTTCAGGGAATGCGTCTCTGGATATAAAAGATCTGGTTAAACAATTTCATCAGATTAAAGGTAAGTACCACAAGTGGTAATAGTTTAAGAACACTAGTTATAAATTATTGCATCAGTAATAGCACATACTCAAACTTAAGAATGCCCACACATATTTTAGTTAAATAATCATACTGTTTATGTTTAAATAACCATTTAAAACCATTTTGTACAAGGAGACTTAAAACTAACTTTTCCAATATGGTGGCCTATCTTGAGAAGTACACGTACTTGAAGAGAATTGAATTTTGTAGTAATAAAGATTCAATTAAAATGAAATGTGTTACTTAGGATGGTTGTATAAGCACTCTCTGTAGAAGATTTTTTTTTTAATGAAGAAAATTTAACCCCCTCCCGCCCACCATGATGGTTTATTTAACTGCAGTCCAGGCTGGACTACCGGATACTCTACATAGTGAGGAGAGAGTTTTCCTTAGAAAGTGGCCTCCTTCAGCCTCAGTGACATAAGGCAGTGTATCTGCTTTGAAAAAAAGCTGTTTGTAGGTGTATATATGTAATGTAAACATGAAACCAAATGGACAGAGGAGCAATGAAAAAGTCAGGGGTAGAAATGAGGAAGGCCAAGTTTGCATGATGAAAATTTGGGAAGATTGTTATAAGCAATAGAGCACATGTATCGGTCAAGTCCTAAGGACAGGCGCACATGTCTAAGAGAACTATTAAAAATAAAAGCGTTTAGTAGAATTTTGTGGAGAAAATGAAGAGTCATGGTGAGAGTGGGAAATGAAATAATTACTGCTGTATTGGCTGATGACCATTTTGGAATGATCATGGAGAGAGAAGGGAGGAGCAGTGTGTTTCCGTTACTTTTATGCTCTGCTATTTTGATGCTGCTGAAAGACAAGATGGGGAGAGAAAGTGTAAAAGTCATGATGGCTTGGATCTGCAGTGCAAGAGACATCCAAAACAAAATGCAGGATTGAGAAGAAGAAGAGCCAAGAAACAAGTCTGGGATTTGCTTACCACTGATAAAATCAGCGAATCTGTATGCGGGAAGCTAAGTAACTGGTAGCTTTAAAAAATATATTTGCACACACCTAACCCTCCTAACCAGGGACCTGGCCTGCAACCTAGGCATGTGCCCTGACCGGAAATCGAACTGAAAAAGAACTGGTGACTTTTTGGCCTGAGGGATGATGCCCAACCCACTGAGCCACAGCAGTCAGGGCAACAAATGGTGACCTTTGAGGCTAATTTGTTTACTGAAGACTTTACCTGCCATTCAGCTTAGCTAGTAGACTAAATTAATGTGGATTTTGGTCCAGCTAGGTTAACGTCTTGGAATCTCAGGGTTCAAAATTAACGTACTGAACTAATGGAGCAGCCCTACTCTCAATGGAGTTAAGGGGTAGGAGACTCTGCTGCTTTTCTCCTCTAGTAACTACAAATATCAAGGAAATTTACATAATGTACCGATACTCCTAAAAGGAAGCTCACAGTATGCTGTAGAAACAAATTTCTCTTTAGGAAGTAGAGGAGAAATGAACATTGCTTATTCTAGTTTTCCAGGGAGATGGGAAGGTAGCATGGAGGTATGACCAGAAAAAGAGTTCAGTGTTACTGTCTAATATCAGTTTTGCTCATTTTTCTGTTTGCCTATTATTGTCATCCCAAATGGGAAAAGAGGATCCATTAACTCAGGTCCTGTCTTAGAGACAACATGAGTCTACCTACATCCACGAAAGCACCACTCTGGGCCGATATACACGCACCGTCAGGTTCCCACGTGGTATGCGTATTTCCTCCCAAGTGACATCCTCCTACCTTCTGACTGGTTTAATTTTCCAGCTGCTAGTCCTGTGGGAGCTCTGGGTGAATTTGGCTGCACGGTTGTTCAGTTCTCTACAACACAAATGCTAGATATAACAGGTGGCATCTTAACAGATCTTCCCTTATATGGATCCTGGCACTCAGAATACCCTTACTGGTCCCAAGGATTGTGGTCTCCGAGGCTTTCAGTGATTTGCAATATGGGGAGATTAATCATTCTTAGGGAACTAACTCACGAGATCTTTTTCCTGGCCTTTTAGTATTCAGCATGAGTGAGGCTACATCAGCCTAGAGACAAGACTGGGAGTTAGGACTTGGTGATGTGAGCAAGAGTTAACTACCATTCCTAGTGCATTGTTCCCCACTCATCTCCCAGATATTGGATATGAGCATGAAAGACATGTATGCAGAGTTATTCCTAAGTAGGTCATTACTATTGTCAAGCTGCCATACGCAGGGAAAGCATGGAGGTAAGTACATATCATTTGTTTTATTTAAACATTTCATCCTAGGATTTTTCTTAGAAGGAGCTCCATTTTGGGGGTGGCCTCACCACAGGACCAACAGTGTTTATCCATCTTGCCATTGCCTTCAAAATGTTTTATAAAGCCAGGTGATGGATGAGGGAGGAGGAAAAGAAGCAGACATGGGACCAAACTTTTCTCACTTCTCTGTTGTCTCACATCCTTTCCCCCAGTTTCCAGAGCTGAGGGTCTTTACTACGATGGCCTGTGACTCCGTCCAAGCCTTTGTTGTAGCATTTTACCCACATATGCCCATTTCCAAAGCAGCGCGTGCTGTAAAACACTTCTTGTATCCGCCTCTTATTTTCCTGCAACTTGATTAAAGAGACCTCACTACCATATGAATCAATGAAAGCTCTGCCGTTGCTCAGTCTGCTCAGGAGAGTTTCTAATAAAAATGAATAACTGAGGGGATTTTATAAACTCAGGCAGTATGTTAAGTTCCATTACTTAGTATCCTCTAGGAAAAGAAGGAAGAAGGAAATGAAATTTATTGAGTACTTGTCTTGTCCTAGGCACTTAGAATAATTTTGTCACTTAAAACAAGTTTATAACATAGGTGACATGATCGCAATTCTACTTCAGAGAAATCCGATGCCTGGGAGTGATTAACTAGGTTGTAAGCGTCTCAGTATTAATTGGTAGAGTCAGAACCCAAACCTAGATCTTCCTAGTAGCAGGGCTTATGCTCTTTCCACAACAAAGTAACATTCTAAGATCCCTCTGGAAAAACCTTAAATTCTTGAACTGAAAGAGGGAAGGGAGAGGAATTTCAGCTTCCTTTCCCTACATCGTCTCCCCCTATTTCACTTCCTCCTCCTGCCACCTTCTTACTCAGAGCCTGAAGCCCAGATTGGGCTAATTCTGATCTTGTCACCATTCAGTGAAGAGGGCGGTGGTTTCTCAACACCAAGTGACAAGTGAGATCTCAACACCACCGTCGCCTTCCCTTCTCCTGAGCTTAATTGCATTCAGTTTCCCGAGTCAGCCCTGCCTTGGCTTCCAACACAGATAGGAAACAACCACCTCTTTTGAAGAATCAAGAGGGCCTTGATCCTGAACATTCTTGGCGCCATGTAGTAGTCATGAACTGCTGCTGGTTATCGGGCCCCATTTTAATTCCTCTGCAGCACTATAGCAGTTACGCACATCCTTAAAGAGTGTCTTGTGTTATTTATTCATATTACATATTCATCATAATGTTTTTAGTTTCTTATGCCAAACCCTATTTTTATACATTATTTTTAGTTGGTTACATATATTAGTGGTTACCCATGCTTTTTAAACAAACAAGGGGTATACCTATTTTGGGGCTAACAGTACTAAATTTTGTCACACCGTGGTGCTGCTCTGTACTTACGAGGGCATTTTCTTCAGATGAGGCTATACTGACTCCTTAAACAGGGCTAGGCATTGTGCCAAAACGACCCCTTTATTTCTTGCATTTGCGTATGCAAGGTAGTTAAGAATTTCATTACCAAGGTTGGAATTTCATTAAGTTTAAAAAGGGTTTGATTGATTATCTGGTAATCTTATTGGGAGTGGGGCTTAGGTCCTTCATACTTTTCCATTCTGGTAAGATTAACTGGTTGGGAATAGTTCCTACTAAAGAAGGCAAGTAAATCGTTAAACAATGATATAGTCAAGAACTGAGGTCAGACTAGGGACAGAAACACAGGGTTAGGACTAAGAACAGAGTGGGTAGCCCTGGCCAGGTGGGTGGAGCATCGTCTGTACACCATAATGTTGCAGGTTCGATTCTGCTTTGGGACGCTGATCTGTGTTTCTCTCATATCGATGTTTCTCTCTGTCTAGAAACCATAAAGTAAGTCCATAAAAAAAGGTGTGAGAGAGGAGGAGGTTATTGGGGTGGGAAGAAGATAAGGCGACCCGGAAAGCTAGGGATGAGGTCAGAAACACTAAGAGACAAGAGCCAATACATGAAGGAAGAACACCTTTGTGCCTTGTAAACTATCACTCACTCTGCTACCCAGAAACCTTGGTAGCTACCTATTGTTCACAAAAGCCAAAGTCTTCAGTGTTCTAGGGATTCTTTGGAAAAATATTAAACTAGTGTGTATTGATTTCGGATAACCTCTGTTTATTCTGTTGATCTCTATCCGTTGAAACACTCATTTTCTTTAAGGGAAAGGCAAGTATAGCCTGGAGCAAGAAAGTCATTACTCAGTACTCAGTTTCCAAAGTTAGTAAGGAAGCTAAAACTTTGGAGTTTTGCCGGAACCTGTCTTTACTGAGAATATTTTCTTGGAATTTTCAAAACTGAGTTTTGATTGAAGAGCTAACGCTAATAGAACCAACTTTTTATTTTATATAAGCCATAGAGGAGGGGGAAAGGAGATGGGACGTAAGGTCATTCCCTGCTCAAAGGAAAGGGAAGGGGAGGGTCCTTCTTGGCAGCGGGTTGTGGTGCTGGGGTGGGGGAGTGCGTGCCAGGCGCTAGCGGAGATTGAAACTGGGGATAGGGAGGGAGGTAGAATCTCGGATCGAATTTCATAAATGCTGAAATTTCACAAATTCTTTCCTGGATCCTATCTAGAACAATGTGTGTATGTCAGAGAAGCTGTGTGGTTAGCATGACATTGTTATGTACCATATACTGTATTCAGCACCTACACTGTAATTGTGATCAGACATTCAGTAAATATTTGTTGAATAAATGAATTACATTTGAAGCAATAGGTTAGA